TGAAGTTGAGGGCGGAGGCGAGGGTCATCAAGAGGCGGACCTCGAGACCGTCGTATCTGTAGGTCCCGTCGGGCAGGGTTCGAAGATGGACACCGGCGGGTGGTTGAAGGTCGTTGCGCGGAGCTGTGCCGAGGGCGGTTCGTCCGTTTAGTTTGTTTTCATTTTCATTCTCATTATTGTCATTACGATTATTATTATCATTATCATTGCCATCATTATCTTTATCATTACCATCATTATCATCTTTATTATTATTAACATTGCTATTATCATTATCATTATCATTACCATCTTTATTATCATTATCATTACCATCTTTATTATAATTATTATTATCATCATGATATACATCATCACCATTATTATTATCATTGCTAATTGTTATCATGCCTACTAACCAAACATATATTCGATATTTTATAACCTCCAAGGCAAGGATGACCGTTTCTCGCCTAGATCGGGAAATACTGACGATACTGTTTAATTTACATCATATCTGAACTGAACAATGTTACTTATCGACACCCTCCTAAGAATTTGTTCAGTAGACCACTTTTTGTTTGACGTTTCCCCTTTTTCATTTCATTTCATATTTCCTCGTCTTCCGTGCAAAACCCACGCACCTTGAATCCATAAAAGTCATTCAGCTTTGCCGGAAACCACTCGAAGCCCTCCCTTCTACTCGCCGAAGCTCCCCTCCTCCACGCGCCCAGGGACTTCGACGAGATCCTCTGGTCATTGAGGAAGAAATCGTGCGTGTACAGATGCAGCGTCGCCTCGGCCGCTCCGGGGGAAGGTGTTGCCAGGAGGATGTTCACCATTTTGCTGATGGGAGAGGACTGCAAGGGAACGCAAAGGATTTTATTACATGTTGATTGCAGGAATACGAACTCTCATGTCGATTTGCATATAAGGAAATGGTGACCAGGCTTTGGGTATTCTGAAACTGAGACACTGATCTGGCTTACATAATTTAAACAAAAAATATTACTCTCATATAAATAGCTAAATCAAAACAATTAGTTTAGAAAACTGCAACTAATCAACGAATATTACCTATATACCTACATAACCAAATGCTCAATTAAGTACACCTCTTCTCCTTACCTTCAGAAAACCAAGTACTTCATTTCTTCCGCAACTTAGTAATAAGGACGAATTTGGCTGAGAGGTTGAGGTCCTCCTCGAATATACCCTCGAGAAGTCGGAGGAGAGCCTTGGCGTTCTTCACTAGAAAGACATAGTGGGTACAGGTCTCTCGGCCGATCATAGAGTACGGCGCCTGCAGAAGGGGACAGGCAATGTGATAAATGTCCTCGCCAAACTTTTCAGTAAGAAAATAATCGTTAGAAGTTATCTGATATTAATTACAAAATTCTGTAATATACTAATGGAAGAGATGAGACACTCTACTGATATATACATTCAATACTTTTTTTCAGTTTATTACATACATTTTCAAAAGTACGGATTTCTTAGCTATAATTGTAATTAGCACTGACCCCATTTCCGGTTTTGTCGCCGGAGAGAGTGAAGAGCGTGACTGGAAACGACTGTCGGGAAAGAGAATGAAGTTTTACACCTGGTTTATTAGGATACGAGGGTGTGAATGTGTGAAAGAGCTAGGCGAATATTGTCTGGATAGTCTGGACACACACACGCACATATATATATGAGAAGGACTTATATATATAATATATATATATATATATATATATATATATATATATATATATATTATATATATATATATAATATATATATTACATACACACACACACCACACACACACACACACACACACACACACACACACACACACACACACACACACACACACACATATATATATATATATATATATATATATATATATATATATATATATAATATGACTGTGCGTGTGCATGTGGGTGTTTGTGTATTGATAGATGAATAAACAAATTAATAGATTGACAGACATATGTTTTTTAAACGGCTCGCTGTTATTGAATGAACAAGAAGTATAGAATGCAAGAAATTCAACGGAAATTTAACAGATCATTATAACAGCAAGAGCAGTTGCAATACATCCTCTGAAATATCTAGTTTCTTCTTCAGTTCTTGATCGTTATCTTTACCTAAACTGATTACGTAACAATCACTAGATTCAACTACACGCACTAAATAATTGTATGTATAAAATGATAAAAATAACCTGACCTCTCACCCGGCTTCTCTCTCCACCCGACCTCTCTCTCTACCTGACCTCTCACCCGGCTTCTCTCTCCACCTGACCTCTCACCCGGCTTCTCCTCCACCTGACCTCTCACCCGGCTTCTCTCTCCACCTGACCTCTCACCCGGCTTCTCTCTTACCTGACCTCTCACTCGGCTTCTCTCTCCACCTGACCTCTCACCCGGCTTCTCTCTCCACCCGGCTTCTCTCTCCACCTGACCTCTCACCCGGCTTCTCTCTCCACCCGGCTTCTCTCTCCACCTGACCTCTCACCCGGCTTCTCTCTCCACCTGACCTCTCACCCGGCTTCTCTCTCCACCTGACCTCTCACCGGCTTCTCTCTCCACCTGACCTCTCACCCGGCTTCTCTCTCACCTGACCTCTCACCCGGCTTCTCTCTCCACCTGACCTCTCACCGGCTTCTCTCTCCACCTGACCTCTCACCCGGCTTCTCTCTCACCTGATCTCTCATCCAGCTTCTCTCTCCACCGACCTCTCACCTGGCTTCTCTCTCCACCTGACCTCTCACCTGGCTTCTCTCTCACCTGACCTCTCACCTGGCTTCTCTCTCCACCTGACCTCTCACCTGGCTTCTCTCTCCACCTGACCTCTCACCCGGCTTCTCTCTCCACCTGACCTCTCACCCGGCTTCTCTCTCCACCTGACCTCTCACCCGGCTTCTCTCTCCACCCGGCTTCTCTCTCCACCTGACCTCTCACCCGGCTTCTCTCTCCACCTGACCTCTCACCCGGCTTCTCTCTCCACCTGACCTCTCACCCGGCTTCTCTCTCCACCTGACCTCTCACCCGGCTTCTCTCTCCACCCGGCTTCTCTCTCCACCTGACCTCTCACCCGGCTTCTCTCTCCACCTGACCTCTCACCCGGCTTCTCTCTCCACCTGACCTCTCACCCGGCTTCTCTCTCCACCTGATCTCTCATCCAGCTTCTCTCTCCACCCGACCTCTCACCCGGCTTCTCTCTCCACTCGGCTTCTCTCTCCACCCGACCTCTCACCCGGCTTCTCTCTCCACCTGACCTCTAACCCGGCTTCTCTCTCCACCTGACCTCTCACCGGCTTCTCTCTCCACCTGACCTCTCACCCGGCTTCTCTCTCCACCTGACCTCTCACCCGGCTTCTCTCTCCACCTGACCTCTCACCCGGCTTCTCTCTCCACCTGACCTCTCACCCGGCTTCTCTCTCCACCCGACCTCTCACCCGGCTTCTCTCTCCACCTGACTCTTACCCGGCTTCTCTCTCCACCTGACCTCTCACCCGGCTTCTCTCTCCACCTGACCTCTCACCCGGCTTCTCTCTCCACCCGACCTCTCACCCGGCTTCTCTCTCCACCTGACCTCTCACCCGGCTTCTCTCTCCACCCGACCTCTCACCCGGCTTCTCTCTCCACCTGACCTCTCACCCGGCTTCTCTCTCCACCCGACCTCTCACCCGGCTTCTCTCTCCACCTGACCTCTTACCCGGCTTCTCTCTCCACCCGACCTCTCTCTCTACCTGACCTCTCACCCGGCTTCTCTCTCCACCTGACCTCTCACCCGGCTTCTCTCTCCACCTGACCTCTCACCCGTCTTCTCTCTCCACCTGACCTCTCACCCGGCTTCTCTCTCCACCTGACCTCTCACTCGGCTTCTCTCTCCACCTGACCTCTAACCCGGCTTCTCTCTCCACCTGACCTCTCACCCGGCTTCCCTCTGCACCTGACCTCTCACCCGGCTTCTCTCTCCACCTGACCTCTCACCCGGCTTCTCTCTCCACCTGACCTCTCACCCGGCTTCTCTCTCCACCCGACCTCTCTCTCTACCTGACCTCTCACCCGGCTTCTCTCTCACCTGACCTCTCACCCGGCTTCTCTCTCCACCTGACCTCTCACCCGGCTTCTCTCTCCACCTGACCTCTCACCTGGCTTCTCTGGAGGAACAAGTCGACGAGAGGGAGTGAAGCCTCGTCTGCAGTGATCGCAAGGGCACACTGCTGCAAGGAGGCACTCACCGCGACGAGGAAGCTGGCCGCCTCCTCGTGGAATTCCGTAGCTTCGAATGCGTCCGTTTGTGTCGTATATTCTGCTTCCTGGGATGAAAAAGCGGGACGTTCTGATGAAGTGGAAGGGCTGGTGTGATGGTGTCAGGGTTGTGAAACAGGTTTGTTAGCTTTCTGGAAAAGGTATGAAGGGGAATGAATTTGGCCGGTTTCGATTATGGCTTCGTCAGAAATACATCGGTCAAATTCATTCTCATTTATACCTTTTCCACATTTTTCTCATGAATACGGTTCATTACCTATATGATCAATGTTCAAAATGATTGTGATTTTCAGATCGATGCTTGAAGCCTGTTACCAGAAAGGGAAGTGTACATGATCTTAACATAAAGTGTAAATCTGTGCCTTGCGATACGTTACTTTATAGATCTTTGGCAAATCTTTGAACTTTCAAAGGACTTTTAACTATCAAAGAGTATGCAGTGATTTTGTTCATAATTTGACAACGAATGTTACGTGTCTGGGAAAGAGGAGAAAACACATTAAATACTACCATTCTAAACCAGTGTCTAATCCCCAACTACACCAAATGTTCAAGACCTGCTAAACCAGTTATTCCTAACTCCAACTAAACTAGTAATTTTAAATCAACTATTCTTATCTCCAGCTAAATACACCTAAATTCCAGTTATACTAAACGGCAGGTAAACCAAATACTTGAACCGCAATTAAACCATTTATTTTCCTCTTCAAGCAAAACAATTTCTTTGAATCCTAATTAAACCAATCAACTCAGTGAAAGCAGTAATTCTGAACAGTTAGACCAATTTTTCTGTTCAACTATCATAAACCCACATGAAACCAATCATTCCAAATCCCAAACAAACTATTCTCAATTCAACCAACTCTCCCAACTTATAACCCAACCCAACACAACCCAAAAAAAGCCAACTCTCCAGCCTTATAACCCAACACAACACAACACAACAACAACAACAAAAAATAATAATAAAAAGGCCAACTCTCCCAGCCTTATAACCCAACCCAACTCAACAACAACAACTACAGTAAATAAATAAATAGATAAATAAATAAATAAAAGGCCAACTCTCCCAGCCTTATAACCCAACCCAACACAACAACAACAACAAAAATAATAATAAAAAAGGCCAACTCTCCCAGCCTTATAACCCAACCCAACTCAACAACAACAACTACAGTAAATAAATAAGTAGATAAATAAATAAATAAAAGGCCAACTCCCCCAGCCTTTTAACCCAACCCAACCCAGTCCAACAGCAACCAAAAGCCGACCAAATACCGCACAAAAACACCCTACCCACGTATACCCACATACCCTCTTCACCCTCGGCAGCCTCGGGGACATTCCGCGCCCGACCTCGGCCTCGCCCCCCTCGCCCGCGCCCCTGCCCTCGGAGGTCGGAGGAGGAGGCCAAGACGGCGAGGACACGGAGAGGGTGTTCGCCAGGGCGGGGAAGGAGCTGGACGAGGACGACGAGGAGGACGACGAAGAAAGGCGAGAGGCACGGCGCTGGTCATCGTCAGCAGAGTGAAGAGGAGGTTGGTGGCGCCGTCGGCCTGGGGGTGAAG